AAGGAAGCAGGGGTGTGGATATGTACACATGTATGCTTAACTATATGTACACATGTATGCTTAACTATTTATATAGACTATCTTTTGAGGCTACACAAAAAATTGATAACAAAGGTTGCCTATAAAGAGATGGGATCAAATCACTGATTTGTCCCCCACTATCTATTCTCCAGTTATTCCTTAGTAATAGAACACCAGCTTTTAGCTAACCTCATGGCTGACTTGAATAAAGATGACATATCCCAGCTCTCTTTGCAAACAGGTGTGGCTCTGGCTGGCCAACGCTGTGTCCTTTAAAAAGGAGTTGTGCTCTCTTCTCTCCCACTTCTTCCTGCCAGCAAGATCGTGGACCTGCTTCCTGGAACTCAGGCTTCCTATACTTGGAGCATGAGAGAAAAGCCCCCTTTTGACAATAGCAAAGCAACAGAAAAGAGTCAGTGTCCCTGTTAATGGTGCTCTCATCACACCAGCCTTGGAATGCTTACCTCAGAACTCTGTTTTCATGGGAAAGAAATAAATTTCTATCTTAGATCATTAATACATGGGGGTTTGTATCATTCATACCTAAAGCTAACCCTAGCTGATTCAGGAGGGGATGCTAGGTGACTCAGGGAGCAGGGGTGGGGGGTAGACCTCTATTAATGAGTCCATTTCAGTTTAAGAACATGCCAGAGTATTGACAGTACCATGAACATCTTTATAAAGGACTCTATTTTCTTTTATCTTGAGCTCCTCTAACCTTCCAAAGGCTGTTAGGGCAAGTTCATCCCTTAGCATTATTACAGTTTCAGGATATTCTATTCATCCAAAAAGCCTAAAAGCCCACACGATAGAACAAATGATTTTTCACAGTATTCTGGCTATGAGAATCTATGAAAATAAGAAGTGTGCGTGTGTGTGTGTGTGTGTGTGTGTACACACAGTGTGCAAAGGAAGGAGACGAGAATATTCATTTTAGCACAGCTCAATCTCAGTTGGACTCTTCCTAATTACAGATATTCTGAGGCTGGGCTTTTTATACCATCATAAATTAAGTTGTTTGTTACTGGATCGATTCTTAGCTGGAGTCATTCCAATGCCCTGCTGGGAGAAGCAGCTATCTGATTTAATTTAGGATGTGCTGGCAAGACTGCCAAACATCAACGAGAACTCAGAAACATTCTCAAACGGAAGGCATGACACATAGCAACGATGTCAATAATCTCTTTGCTTTCAATATTTATTTATGGATATTGTTTTAGGAGAGTCAAAGGAAAGAAAGTAAATGCGAGGAACAGGATGCCTTTGACGTCTCTGTGGGTTAAAATAAATTCTTTTCATATTTCTTGTTATATACTTCTGGTCCCCAATCCTAGCTGAACATTAAAATCATCCTGAGGGACTTTTATTTAATACAAATTCTCAGACTCCATACCCCAACAATTCTGATTCAGTAGATCTGTTTAAACATAAAGCTATGTATTTTTTGAAAATTGCTCTGGTGATTATGAGAGCTCAATCCTCGTTCTGCATTTAGAAAGACCTAGCATAAATCAATTCAATATTTTTAAATGCCCGATATGTGCTGTTAAGATGATTTAAAAAGACAATTTAGGCAATAGAAACAAATTTTTAACACTTCATGGAGTGGGACATCTCCACTCTCAAAGAGTTTGGAGAACTGCAAGGTGGGGCAGAAGGAAGGAAGCTTTTATTGGATGAAAAATAGGGGACAAGGAAAATAAGGAATAAAAATATCTGATTGGCTGGGGTTACATAGGAACAGGAGATCACCTGTGTTACTTGGCGATCATGAACTGGTTAGCCAGATGGTCTGAGTTCTGGGCTGATAGAACATAAACAAGAATATGAAACCTAAAAGTTAAGTTTCATTTGCTGATGTGGTTTCCCAAGATAAGTGGCACTTGATCTACCAAGGAAGGTTAATGTGAGATCCGTTTGACAATTCTACCTTTTGATCAACCTCTGGCCAAGCAAGAGATGTGATCAAAGACAATGTTGCAAGTTATTCTAAGTTATAATTGCCTCTGTGGTATATATTTTGCAGGAAATGATGTCACGTTCATAATCCTGACGTTGTCTTTGTTCCTTGGGTCTTTTTTGTCATTCCAGTCTGAAGGAGACCATTTGTTGGCTGGCCCCTGGCTGTGTACAAGCATTTAAAACCCTTGAGGGAATGCAACTGTACCAGGGAGATAATTATTATTATTAAAAGTATTCCTAAGAGTTTTCTGAGGCATGGTCCCCATGAACCAAACCAGTTAGAATTAAATAAATCAAGAAATGATCCTGAAGAGGGAGATACTTCTGTAACCCAGTTGGCCTGTGAAGGGGAGCAGAATAGGCCACTCCAAAATATGTCTCTTTGTCATAGGATTATCTTGAGATGGTCATTTTTAAGAAACAGCAGACACAGGAAAAGCTCCAAAAATGAGTAGGTTACCCTTTTGTAAGGGAAATTTACATTTATAAGGGAAATCTCCATTTTTAAGAGTGTCTCCCTCTTTGTACCAGGAAGGGAAGGATAACTAAATTGTAAGAAACTCATCAATGGGAAAGGCATTTAAATCTATATAACAACCAGACCCTTGTTTTCCAAGCTTTGCTTGATAACTTCCCATAACTGCCCACCCCACTCTCCTAAAATCTTATTTTGTCTTTAGCTGGAAATGTTACTTAAGGTGGTGGCTTGTGCCATTTCTGGGATTTATACAGTTTCCTGGGTATCTCCCATGTGTACAGGAGGTTAAAAAGTTATTAAACTTCTGTTTGTTTTTCTCCTGTTAATCTTTTATTACAGGGGTTTCTCAGCCAAGAACCTAGAGGGGTAGGGGGAAAATTATTTTTCTTCCCCTACACCTATTTTGTGTAACCATGTCTCCACTTTCCCAGAAGCGTTTAACCAGCGAGCTTGTTCCAAAGAAACCAAAGCACTGGAAATCAGAGAGAAGTTTATGATGGGTAGAACTACAGAATCACCAGCATCAAAGCAAATCCAACAGTGCTAAATGCCTGTCAGGCACATGGAGGTGCACTACTGGTCTCGTGGCTATAGGCTAGTACACTCTAGAAATCACTAGTACTGCCTTTTCCACAAACTCAGGAACACTGTCCTCACATCATTTCCTTATTTTGCTTCTTTTTTTTTTCAATTAATCACTGCATTATTGTCAGTCCAGTATGCCCATTGGGCCTTCCTCTACCCATATTGTCTAAGAATGCTTATTCAAACTAAAGAGAGGTGGTGGAATGCAGACAACAGAGAAAGAGGAATCTCCATCCATTCAAATAGTGTCATGGCTTCCTAGTCACATGGGGTTGAAACCAAGTCCCCCTAAAACAGAGTTCCCCTGCCAAGTCTATGATTAACCTCTCTATCCAAAAATTTACTCCCTTTCTTGTCTTGCTCCTGTTCCTATCAAGATTGAGGAATATCAAAGAAAAAGGCGGACTGAAACTGAGCAGGACACTGCAGGGCTTCCCAAGTACAAGAGCGCCTCTGTGTCCTCCATTCCTTGTTTATAGAAAAAGGCTTTAGTCTTCCAGGTCTTCCCCAAGTTCCAAAGAGCAGACTCAAACAGTTACTAATTAGAGAAGTGAGGGAATGCAGAAAGAAAGGAAAAGCAGTCAAGCAAGAAAAGTAATGTTAGCTTAAACAATAGTTCAGCAATAAAACAGAGTCACAGGACTCCTAGCTCTTCCTAAAGGGATATACAAAACAGTCTGAATGAATGAATGGTGAGAACACTAATGCGTTATGGCACCTTGAAGGAAGTCTAATCTCGCTCCTCAGGCCATATATACAAATTCACCCATAAACCAAAGACTCTTGCAGCATCCCTATTAGTCCATCAAACAAATTCAGTAAGGGGTAGTAGAAGGTACCACCCCAAAACATATCTCTTTGGCATAATGATTGTTTTGAGCTGATTATTTTGAGAAACAGCAGATCCAAGAGAAGCTCTGAAAACAGTAGAATTTACCCTTCTGTAAGGAAAATTTACAATTTATAAAGGGAACCTCCATTTGTGTGTCTCCCTCTCTGTACCAAGAATGGAAGAATCCCTAAATCATAAGATGTAAGTCTGCATAACAAACCTTACCCTTATTTACCCTGCTTTTTCTGGTATCCTCCGATTACTGGTTCCCCTTCACTCCAAAACTCTTTCTTTTGTCACTAGCTGAAGATGATATTTAAGGTGGAGGCTTGGGCCATTTCGAGGAGTTAATCAGTTTTCCTGGATTTCTCCCATGTATACAGGAAGTACACGTGTTATTAAACTTCTGCTTGTTTTTCTCTTTTTAATCTGTCTTTTATTACAGGGGGTCTCAGCCAAAGACTCAGAACGGTAGAGGGAAATTTATTTTCCTCCCTAACACCACAAAATGGTGTATTTTCATGCCATTTCTCCATTGAGTGTATCTTTGTAAGCAAGTTGATTGTCGGGCAAATCCCTCCAATGTCAGCCTAATGATGGTATTAATATTAATTAACGATTTTTTTTTTTTTTTTTTTTTTTGCGGTACGCGGGCCTCTCACTGTTGTGGCCTCTCCCGTTGCGGAGCACGGGCTCCGGACGCGCAGGCTCAGCGGCCATGGCTCACGGGCCCAGCCACTCCGCAGCATGTGGGATCTTCCCGGACCGGGGCAGGAACCCGCGTCCCCTGCATCGGCAGGTGGACTCTTAACCACTGCGCCACCAGGGAAGCCCTAATTAACGATGATTTTTCAGCCTACCTGTTACTCCTGTCAAACAATAATCAGTATTTAGGCTGCAAAAAACAAAAAGTTTTATTTGGGGTTTTAAGAATTGCCACTTGGGTAAAATTGAAAGAAATATTTGTCCTGCAGGGATAGGCTGTCACTAGTTATTTTACAATATGGGTCCAATAAGTATCTTCAGTTTTTGGAATATTGTGCAGATGTTCTGGATGTCTGCATTAAGACAATAAGTGGTCAAAGTTTAGATCCCAACTGGGCTGAGATGTGCATAAATCACAATGGCCTCCTGCCTCCATTTTAAAGAGCTCTCTTAGCAGTACTAACTCCATTTTGATTTTCCTTTCACACTCTCAAAGGAAATAAAAACCTATTTTCTGATACACATTAAAAGTAAATATTAATATTCTATACACTATTATAGCATGAACTATAGGATATATTGTAGTATCATCTATTCATTGCCGTATAACAAACCATCCAAAACATATTTACTTAAAACAATAATTTATCATTTCTCATAATTCTTTGGGACAGAGATTTGGGTAGGGCCCCACAGGCAGTTCTTTTGCTTCATGTGGGTTTTTGAGTCAACGGTATTCATTTGTAGCTGGGCTGGGTTCAAAGGTCCAAATGAATAATTATTATAGATGCATTTATTTAATTATATACTTTAAAATAATGAAAAGATAAACCATTTTTTTAAATGGCTTTTTATAGGAGGAGGAAGGGAACATGGTAGAGGGGACAAGAATAGAAGACTTCTCTAAATATGCCTTGTTTTTGTAGGTTTGGCTTTAGAACCATGTAGATATTTTACTTAAAATGCAAACAAAATTAAATAATAAAAACAAGCTCTGAATTTGAAAGTAATATGAAAAAATGAATCTGGCTATATATAGTTTAAAAACAACTGAGTAAATTTGAACATCTAATTGGCTTTATTCAAGGATTCATGAATTGGGTAGCATCCCACCTAATAAATAAAAAGGCACCCCAAGGGGTTGTACAAAATAGAAGATGTTGTAGGCAGGAGGAGGATGGGGCAAGGAAGCTGTTAGCAAAAGAAAAGAAAATATTGTTTCAGGCCAAGTTACATTTTGCGGGGGAAGGAGGAAGTCTACCATGCAAATTACTTCTTCTTTTAAGCGATGGAGGGGCCCATATGACAGATTACCTCACTGGTGCTGACCAGAAAATTCCAGACTGGCTGATTAAGATTACATTTCTGGTGAAGGTCCAAACAGCAATATGTGAGGTATTAAATCTAGGTCTGGTATAACAGGCTTTTTAGTACAAGTGATGTCATCTTGAGCCTGTGGTTTCCTCTTTAACAATTCGTAGTTGGGAGAATAATCTCAAAGAGAGAAATTATAACAAAGGATTTTAAAACACAAGAAATGTATATTCCTAAGGGATACATTAGTGATGTATTTTAAGGACAAAAACAGCTGCAAAAAATTTTTTTCAACCATTTTCAGTAATCATATTGGAGGTGGTAGTGTTAGAATTGCTCTCTGAGATTGCTGTGTGTACTGTATGGGAAAAATAAAACATCTAATTAGGCTAGTATCATAGAGAACTGCCAGGAGATACAGATGTATAATTGATAAGGTTAAGTAAAAACCAAGTCATAACTTGGCCTTGAAAGGATAAGTATGAATTCATGATGTCTTTTACCTAAACAAAAAAAACAAACAAACATATTCCCTAACTCTAATCACTGTAAAGGCAAAGAACCAATGACCAACTCAGTAGCAATGAGCACCCCTAGTGTCCAGATTATAATCTCTAAATATCATTTCCCTCTTAAACAACCAGGGCTCTTTGGGTCTAGGACAGGAAGTGTAAAATACATGCTAGGAAATCTTGTTCTTCTAAAAAGCAAGGAAGCTATTGAAGACCACCAGGGTGGTGTCAAAAGGACTCAGGACTCAATCTAAACAAGTTCTGCTGGGCTAAAATAGGTTATTTGAGCATCAATAAGCATAATAACTTCAATGGATTGAAATACTTTATATATGTTTAAAACTGTGAGTTTATAATTATACTAAACCCAAACTACTTGGTATCCTTTGGAAGATGCCAGGGGAATGTCTCATTGTTTTGAAATCTGATAAATAAAGGGACAGAATCAAGCCCTTCCTGCCCTTCCTATCGAGTCTGTATTACAGGAAAACCAAATAGTTGATGAGGGGAAGTTTCTGTTTACAGAAGTATTTCAAAAAGTAAATGAAAAAGGAATGATAGAATTGTTGTATCACCATTCTGTAACCTCTAATGAAAGTCACAAAAAGAAAGACACTAGGACATTGTTTTCCTCATGAAGGAAAACACACCATGAATGAAGTAGTGTCAAAAAAAAAAAAAAAAAGAACTCTAGGGCTTCCCTGGTGGCGCAGTGGTTGAGAATCTGCCTGCCAATGCAGGGGACATGGGTTCGAGCCCTGGTCTGGGAGGATCCCACATGCCACAGAGCAACTAGGCCTGTGAGCCACAACTACTGAGCCTGCCTGTCTGGAGCCTGTGCTCCACAACAAGAAAGGCCGCGATAGTGAGAGGCCCGCGCACTGCGATGAAGAGGGGCCCCCGCTCGCCGCAACTAGAGAAAGCCCTCGCACAGAAACGAAGACCCAACACAGCAAAAATAAATTAATTAATTAATAAACTCCTACCCCCAACATCTTCTTAAAAAAAAAAAAGTTTAAAAAAAAAAAAGAACTCTAACCTGAAATATATCAAGCCTCTTCTTAATCTAACTGCCAATTTATATAAAATGCAGCATATAAAGAAATACTTTAAAATACCATGGGGATGCAATTAATAAAATGCAGACTGTGGGAAACTATAAGATAAAAAAAAAATTCAAGAAAAAAAGAAAAATGTAGGAAGACACCATAGATTAAAAGAAACTTCAATACAATCAATCATTGGCGAACTATGGACCTTATTTGGATAGTGATTCAAAAAAAAAAAAGTTTTTTACTATATGATCATCTCAATAGATGCAGAAAAGCTTTTGGCAAAATTCAACACTCACTTATGATAAAAACTCTCCAGAAAGCGGGCATAGAGGGAATGTACCTCAACATAATAAAGGCCACATATGACAAACCCACAGCAAACATCATTCTCAAAGGTGAAAAACTGAGAGCATTTCCTCTAAGATCAGGAACAAGACAAGGATGTCCACTCTCACCACTGTAATTCAACACAGTTTTAGAAGTCCTAGACATGGCAATCAGAGAAGAAAAAGAAATAAAAGGAATCCAAACTGGAAAAAATGAAGTAAAACTGTCACTATTTGCAGATGATACTATACATAGAGAATCCTAAAGATGCCACCAGAAAACTATTACAGCTAATCAATGAATTTGGTAAAGTAGCAGGATACAAAATTAATGCACAGAAATCTCTTGCATTCCTATACACTAACAACGAAAGATCAGAAAGAGAAATTAAGGAAGCAATCCCATTTATCACTGCAACAAAAAGAATAAAATACCTAGGAATAAACCTACCTAAGAAGACAAAAGACCTGTATGCAGAAAACTATAAGACACTGATGAAAGAAATCAAAAATGATACAGATGGAGAAATATATCATTTTCTTAGACTAGAAGAATCAATATTGTGAAAATGACTATACTACCTAAAGCAACCTACAGATTCAATGCAATCCCTATCAAATTACCAATGGCATTTTTCACAGAATTAGAACAAAAAAATTTACAGTTTATATGGAAACATAAAAGACCCCATATAGCCAAAGCAATCTTGAGAAAGAAAAACAGAGCTGGAGGAATCAGGCTCCCTGACTTCAGACTATACTACAAAGCTACAGTAATCAGAGAGTATGGTCCTGGCACAAAAACAGAAATACAGATCAATGGAGCAGGATACAAAGCCCAGAGATAGATCCATGCACATATGGTCACCTAATCTATGACAAAGGAGGCAAGAACATACAATGGAGAAAAGACAGTCTCTTCAATAAGTGGTGCTGGGAAAACTGGACAGCTACATGTAACAGAATGAAATTAGAACACTCCCTACCTCCATACACAAAAATAAACTCAAAATGGATTAGGGACCTAAATGTAAGACTGGACACTCCAAAACTCTCAGAGGAAAGCATAGGAAGAACACTCGTTGACATAAATCACAGCAAGATCTTTTTTGACCCACCTCCTAGAGTAATGGAAATAAAAACAAAAACAAACAAATGGGACCTAATGAAACTCAAAAGCTTTTGCACAACAAAGAAAACGATAAACAAGACGAAAAGACAACCCTCAGAATGGGAGAAAATATTTGCAAACAAAACAACTGACAAGGGATTAATCTCAAAAATATACAAACAGCACATGCAGCTCAATATCAAAAAAATAAACAACCCAATCAAAAAATGGGTGGAAGACCTAAATAGACATTTCTCCAAAGAAGACATACAGATGGCCAAGAAGCACATGAAAAGCTGCTCAACATCACTAATCATTAGAGAAATGCAAATCAAAACTACAATGAGGTATCACCTCACACCAGTCAGAATGGCCATCAACAAAAAATCTACAAACAATAAATGCTGGAGAGGGTGTAGATAAAAGGGAACCCTCTTGCATTGTTGGTGGGAATGTAAGTTGATACAGCCACTATGGAGAACAGTATGGAGATTCCTTAAAAAACTAAAAATAGAACTACCATACGACCCAGCAATCCCACTACTGGTCATATACCCTGAGAAAACCATAATTCAAAAAGATACATGCACCCCAATGTTCATTGCAGCACTGTTTACAATAGCCAGGACATGGAAGCAACCTAAATGTCCATCAACAGATGAATGGATTAAGAAGATGTGGTACATATATATATATAGATAGATAGATAGATAGATAGATAATGGAATATTACTCAGCCATAAAAAAGAACAAAGTCGGGTCATTTGTAGAGACGTGGTTGGACCTAGAGTCTGTCATATAGAGTGAAATAAGTCAGAAAGAGAAAAACAAATGTCGTATATTAACGCATATACATGGAACCTAGAAAAATGATAGAGATGAACCTATTTGTAGGGTCGGAATAGAGATGCAGATGTAGAGAACAGACAGGTGGAAATGGGGGGAGGGGGGAAGGGTGGAATGAATTGAGAGATTGGGATTGACATATATACACTACCATGTGTAAAAGAGATAGCTAGTAGGAACCTTCTGTGTAGCACAAGGAGCTCAGCTTGCTGCTATGCGGTGACCTAGATGGGTAGGATGGAGGGGGGGAGGGAGGGAGGTCCAAGAGGGAGGGGATATATGTATACATACAGCTGATTCACTTCATTGTACAGCAGAAACTA